GACATCTAAGCGGAACGGCAACTTTGGCGGCAGCAATAGCCTCATGTTTCTTCTGCTGCTTGCGAGCACGCAGGTGGGCACGATGCGCGGCATCCCGAGCCCTCTTCTTGAGAATTTTAGTATCGACATACTTGTCGCCAACCTCAACGAAGCGCATCTCCGGCCGACCTGGCCGCTGGACAATATTAGTGACACCATCGGACTCTTTCTTCGCCTTGGAAGCACGAGTCTTCTCAAGTATGCCCGGGATAATGGGTTCCTAAACGCGATGTGAGCAAGGAAGATTGATTGTGGCAAAAAATATCGACCTGGCCCTCGACCGTAGGCTCCCAGAACAGCCGCTGGTAGCGCTCACGGGCCTTTGTGTCGTAGCCCTCCTCGTCGTACTGAATATCAGCCTTGATAGTTTCTTCGCTCAAGGCTGTCACTTCAGTGCCAGAGACAGTCCTCCTGCGTTCTGAGACACCCAGAATGTACTCCATACCGACCTGGAAGCCAGTCTGAAGCCGTTTACCCTGTTGGCAACACGTCAGAATTTTGATGTTAAAAATGTCGAGAAAGTCAAATTCAGATGAGGTTGAAATCGATATAACCACGCTCTGGGCTATGTAAGGCACCCAACGGTCTTCCAGTTCGCGGATGATGATATAGTCTCATCACGCATGATACATCGAAAGGGAATACTGACCTCCTGTAATACATCGATGCCGCGACGACGCCATCAGTTAGCGAATTCAAGTAAGACCACGAGCACAGCACAAATACCTAGAGGAAAGGCTTTGTTAGCGTGATGGTCCAAGGTGAGAACGCATTTAGGATAGATCAGAAAGCCATGCATGTGTATCGTCTTTAACCATGAGGTACCCCGTGGGGCAGTCTTAAAGACTAATCGAATTAAACTCATCATAGAGCACGAAACGGTGTGTACGGTAAGAGAGGTGACACACGAACCTTCTTCCAGTGTTCTTCGAGACCCTTCAACCTCAGAACGGCGTCGACACGAGCGATGCTGAGGCCGTGAAGCGCAGCCAGTTCGCGCACATTATTCTTCGTCGGGTCGGACATGAACTGTTCGTATATCAGTGTGCGCGTTTCATCCGATACAGGTATAGGAGGCTTGAAGGTAGAATTTAAAGGGAAGGGCTATCCCAACGTCAGACAAGAGATATATGGATATCAACCCGACGTTGACTCAACTGTAACGTTCCCTCCAAGCCAGTTACGCGATCTGTGAGGTTCTCTAAACTGTCTTCCCTCGCCGTTTATCCACGCAGAGTAACCCTTGTCGTCGTCCGGGAACGGATTCTGGGTCGTGTTGACTTCCTCGTCAGCACCCGAGAGCATCTCGGGATCAGAGAACTCTTGTTCTTCATCCTCATTCTGAGCTCGTACGACGAAGGAAGTAGTGAATTGTCGCGAGCTGGACGCTACGGACCATGGTCGCAGAGACCGGTGAGAAAGGTTTCGCAGCTGAGCCAACATCACTGAAGAGCTGAACCCCGAAAAATTTGAAGCCTTTCTGGGCCAGATCACGTGTGCACGTTTAGGGCAGCGGGCGCTCCTGCGTCAGACGCGCGCGCGACTGCGCCACACGATGAACGTCGCCTTGTGCAATCTGCCCGACGCTCTCATCGACGTCCTCCGTAGATATGCAACTCTTTGTCCCATAAGAACTCTTCAATTTCCTAACACTTTGCCCTTTCATCAAGTTCATGATTTCTTACTGAATCATATCCTTCTTCATCCATTCTTCATATCATACCCTCCCTCGCCACAGTACCAACAGCAATTCTGGAAATGGACTCTGGCGCACCTTGAGTCCATGCCAATGGAAGAAGTGGAGCCCATTCTCTTGTGCTGCGGGGCCTCTTACTGATCTTCGGGCTCTCAAGGATGACGAGATTGACTACCGATTGTATCACCACCACGTCTCCCTTGTATCTCGTTCAACAACGTATGTCATATCTCGACAAGTGATAACCTGCACTAAGAAAAATAGCTCATACGCGATGGGCTTCATACCTCCTTTGCCTTCTTATTTCACATACTTCTGGAGGCAAGGGGGTGGACCGGATTTCGAAAGTGCCACACTCCTGGAATCTCGGACCACCATAGAAAGCGGCACCACCGGACTGAAGACGTGGGGCGCCAGTCTCGTGCTCGCGCAATTTTTAACTGTGTATTCAGGTACATCTATCTCACTCTAGGGCGCATTACCGGCACGTCGCTCACCTATGATATGCAGGTCTCGTTCGAGGCAAGAGGCTCTTAGAGCTTGGCTCCGGTGCTGGCCTGCTTGGTATCATTGCTGCAAACATACAGCTGATGGAGTCATTGGCATGTGAAAGTATATACCTCACAGACGTAAACCCGGAGGTCCTGGCCAGGTGCGCAGAAAACCTGAGCTTACCGTGTAGTATGTATCCAAGCCGTTCAACGAAGTGTGACAGCTAAACGACACGCAGATAAATCGTCTTCCCATCCTAGTATCAAAACAGTGCACCTAGACTGGACAGACTCCCTTGATCCAATCGGCATTGCGTCTGTGCATGACTTGCTCGAGGAAGCCTCTCCAGATGTCATCCTCGGGGCCGATATAGTAAGTAAACCTGGACCTACCGTCGCTCATCTGCTGACTTAAAGGGTACAGGTCTATGACCCCGGCATTATATCCTCTTTAGTCGAGATTTTAAGACTCGCACTCGAACACCAAGGCAGAATAGCCTTGATTGCGCTTACCGAGCGAAATCAGGACACGCTCGCACAGTTCATACAAGCAGCACGTATGTCACTTTGCGGTGGTGATCGTTGGCTCTCGGATTCTGAACACGCTATTGGCAGGTGATGTACTTTTAGTGGAACAGCTGCAAGTGACTCTGGCAGATATGAGGATGTTCTGGGGCATTTCAGATTTTGGTGACTCGATTCCAGACCAAAATGTCAAGGTATTCCAACTAAGTACAAGACCTAACGGACCGGGTATAGAGTAGATATGTAACCTATTGTACAATCTATCCAGCCGAACAGAGTCCATGGACTACGCAAAACTGGTATACGTCATCTTCAAATGGAACTCAGTCGTGCAGAATCTAGCATTAGTTCGCAGGTACACAGCTGTCAGTCTTGACACTCCCGCATAAATGACAAGACCAGAAATCGTGAGGCAGGTCTTGTTCTCCGCACTTGACGCATGTCCAGCCCACAGACTGCTGAGGTTGTTCCATCGGACGAAGAAGCAGACACGCCATACATTGTAAAGCCAGCGGCTCATTGATGAGCGTGCAACGCGGACAGCTCCACGAGTCTTCTGACAATGTGCGTCGCTTCGCTGTAGAGCCTACCCTGCTGACCATTGGGGAGGGCGGAGGTGTTCTGGTTTTTGACGCAGAGGCCGACCGTACAGAAGAGGGCTGCCGCATCCGCAGGCCAGCAGGCGAAGAGCTTTTGATCGTTCTGGCGGGAGGCCGCGG